TACTTTGCATGGTTAAAAAATTGGTTTTCTTGTAGAATAACATAATATAACAATATTTCCACATAAAAATAAACAACTCTTTGTTATAAATAAAATAATTTTGATGCATTTCATAATTAATATATCTTGACAATAGTCTTAATTTGTGCCAACACAAGCTCAATATTATAAAATTTACCAACTCTAAAAATTTGGTGTTACCAACACAAGCTCAATATTATAAAATTTACAAACTCTAAAAATTGTATAAGAAGAACTAATGCATATAAGGACACAGTAATCAAATTATATTAATGTTATATGTCTTGTCGGATAATACTGACATGTATTTCAAACAAGCGCCCTACTAATGGATATTGTGCGTGTTTAGCAATTATACATTCTTTTGTAAAAACCTCTTCAAAAAAGAGAAGTTGTTACTCCAAAGCTCAACATGTTTGTCATCGTTAATTTTAATTGTGTTAATTACATTGTGAAGTTCACAATCAAAAATCACATTTGGGAGAAAATATTTAAGTAACTAGTTGGTAATATTCTTTTTTTTTCCTTTCTAAAATTTAAAGTTTTTATTTAATCAAAATGTTTACATTACAAAATCGAGCGACTCCTTTTGGACTTAGAGTCAACTCTCATCTTTCTTTTTCAATCTATACATCCGAACACCATGTCCACATGCCAATCATGTTATCTTCATCAATTCTACAATGTATATACATGTCAATAATTAAGTTTATTTATAAAGTAAATCATGTCTATCTTGACGCCAAGTTATTGTCTTAGCACTCATTCAATTTTGTTTGTGCCAACGAATTGAATTTCTAACGCATAGTCTAAAAGAAGATACAAAGTTGTTTTCCATGGAGACTCTTCCCTCTCCACCTTTCTTGAGCTCATTTTTCTAATCTGACCTATCGGCATTTTTAAGAGGCATCTAAACTTCACTACTTTGACGATCAGGTATACTTGTGCACGATGTGTTTCAATGCATTAGTATGCAAATTTATTTGTAACTAGGGAATTTGGCCTTCAAAATAAATATTAAAGAATTACTTTTTGTTCAATCAATTATATAGCTCTCTTTATTTTCAAACGTAATATCATCACTTTATTTTTTTAAGTTATACATTAATTATGAAGATAGTTTTGAGATGACGATCGAAATCAAACTTAACAAATTTAACATCTATAATCAATTAAATGAGGGATAGTACATTATTAATCAATATGTCAAATGTCAATATATATTTTCTTAGTAATTTTTTTGTTTGGACAGGTAGTTAATACGTCACTTTTTACATTTTATTGGAATATCAATGAGTTTGAATCTTTATATTACAACATATACTCCGATGTACTTTTTTTCTTGTGTATATAAGAATTATATTATAAAGTAACTGAAAAGTACTAATAAAATACATCTACACGTTTTATTATTCTTTTTCTTTTAATATGATAAAACTCCTTTGAATATTTCGTTTTTCAATTATTTTTGTTCCTTTTTAAATATACAATTTAAATTTGTATGATTTTTACATGAAGCACATCTATTGATATTTTAGATTCTTTAGTTGCATTTATATCAAAGATAATTGTTATCATTTGTCAAATTTATTTTTTAAGAATGTTGTCCAAAATGTTACGCTATTATTAAGTTTCAATATATTCAACCTCTAATGAGAATATGTTTTTTTTTAAATTATTAACTCGTTTACTATATTTTAATCTATATCTTTTATATGAAATATAAAGATAAATAGATTCATATAAACTACGTAAAAATATTTGATAGATAATAAGCCTCTTCACATATTATGTGTATAGAATAATAAAATTCAAAAGTTAATTAAATTGAATACTCCGATAATATATTTTCATTTCAAATATACTTCTTGCATTATCAAATCAATGATTACACCTCTTTCTATATAAAATTAATACATGAACACCCTAACATATACTCAGTACTTAGTATATTAAAATAATTTAAAATTTTAATCATAATTTTATGTTTATTTAATCATACTCATATGAAAAGTTTTTATGTACAAATTTTTGTGTTTTATTATTAAAAATATATTTAAAATCAAATCAACTTATTTAGTCATGTGTATTCATCTTTTATTTATAATTTCCAAAAGATATATATTTAACAAAAATAAATTAATTTATCAAATGCATGAATAAATTTTTTTGGCATATATGTTTGTTCTATTTTTAAATTTCATAAAATGTATATTAAATATTTATATTCACTATTTTATTTATTTTGATCTATATTTAATTATACTTCAAAAGAGTTACAAAATATGATTTTCATAGTATATAAAATACAAGTATTTAATATTACAAAATATTTGCATGGAGCGCAATTAACATATAAGTAAACATTTACAAAATCTTCAATTATGGGATGAATATTTTCATTTATTAGATCTTGTTTTTCAATTACTTCATACAATTTCATTACTAACTTCAAAAATACAAACTTTATATGTTTAATTAAAACAACAATGTAGTGTATTCTTACAAATTGATACCGGGTGTGCTCAATTAGAATATATTATTAAAAATATTCAATATTAAAAAAAATATTTATTCATTTATTTTGTGATTGATTACTAATATAATAGACCATATCATATATTTTTAGGTACAAAAATATTCAGTAGATATTAAAAAAGTGTACCATAGATAACATACCTTTAATTCAACCATGGAAAAATCTAAAATATTAATTTGATAGAACTCTCTATGCATGAATCTCCAAGATAATTAAGCTTCTTTCTTCATTTTGTTGAACTTGTACTAAATAATGTGATGAATCTTTCAAGAATATACCGATGATCTTCATCAAAGTGAAGATCATATCGTGACATCATCTTTTCTAAGTCTTCTTTTTTGATTACTTAACTACCTGATTGATGAAGAAAAAGATGAAGAAAATAAAATTAAAACACTATACTACTAAAAAAAAGAATGAAGAAATGTGAATGAACATGCAACATCTCCATAGATGATTGATATTTATAGATATAGAAATGGTTAAAAGAGAATCGAAAAGACATGTTATTAAGTAGAGAATGTCAATAGATAGGGATTTTTTGTAACTCATTTCATATGATTAAATTTTATAATTGCTAAAAAAATATTTTATGAAAAAAATAAAAAAAAAGAAAAAAATTGAGGCTCTAGTGCCACATCAGCGATTTTGGATTCAGATTTATATATATATATATTGATTGATTATAAATTTTCTTAAGACCCTCTTTGTGTTTTTGAAAATTTTTTTGATCATCACAAGTGAGTATCTCTCTACTAATATGAAAAATAATTGTATCTTTTATGCAAGCAAGTTGATTAATTTTAGTATTTCATTTTGTCATGTTAAATCCTTGATAGTTGTTTGTATCCATTGGAGATATGGGATATAAGATCTCTAACTATATTTACATTTTCTTTTTCTTTCTAAATAGCCGTATAAAATAATTATTCCAATATGGGATATAAGATCTCTAATTATATTCACATTTTCTTTTCTTTCTAAAATAGCCGTTAGTGAAAATAAAATAAGTATAAATTTAAGGAATCCCATAGTGTAATACAATAATTACATTCTGTCACGACAAATTTAGTATTTACTAATAATCCCTTAAAATTGTTGTGGCGTGATACATTAATATGTTGTGATACATGGTAAATGATACACAGTAACTTAAAACTGTTAAGATTAAAAAGGAGAAAAAAATGGAACATTTAAATTTGTTATCTAAATCAGCTTAAATTATGGTAACAGTTCATTAATAAGCATTAATTCAGCACGTAATTGGATAACAATTTCAAATTTTGAAAATTCAAGATTATATCATCTAGTTTAAAGACATTTTTATGAACATCCAGTTATTAAAATTATTGACTGATATATGATAACAATTTTTAAAAACTCGTGATACATAGAAAATCATATGATACACATCAAATTCATGTATCAATGCATCGTCTAAACACTATAACACACTGAGTTGATATGTATCAGCAAGCACACTTGATGACGCAGTTATTAAACTTATTGAATGATACATGATAACAATTTTCAAAAACTCTTGATACATAGGAAATCATATGATACACATCTAATTCATATATCAATGCATCGACTAACACACTATAACACACTGAGTAGTTATGTATTAAACTTATTGTTTGATACATGATAACAATTTTCAAAAATTCATGATACATATGGGATTCCTTTAATAAAATTTTTACTAATTTCAACAACAATGGTTGTTGCTTCTTTTCTCTTTTTTTTGGTATATTTTGTCAACCTTTGATTTAGAGGATTCACCAAAATCTTTGTTTGAATCCTTTTGAACATTCATAGGATCATGCAAATACTTTTTTCTATTTTCTTTTCAATTTTCATCGCCCGAATCATAAATTCTTCTATTAGTAAAAGGATCCATTAATATGATGTAATAGGACAATGAACAAAAAAAAAGAACGGATGATGGAGTAAGAAGAAAAAGATGACCTAGAGACGACTTATGTAATATAGCAATGAACAAGAAGAAAAAAAAGAAAATAAGAACAGATGATGGATTAAGAAGAAGAAGAAGAACTATAGACGGATGATGGAGTAAGAAGAAGAAGAAGAACCAGAGAACAATGGTCTAATTTTCAAAAATTTCAAATTTTTTGAATTTTGAAATTCAAAATTTCATATTAAATGTTATGAAACGTTTTTAATTAAAATTAATAATTCAAAATTCAAAAAGTGATTCAGAAGATTGAGTGTTTTAGTGGAGGAAAAATAGGCATGATATTGGGGAAGTGTATGTTATAGAAGAGAAAAGGTTATGTATCTCTAAACTTTTACTAAAATTAAATAAAAGGAAATTATGTAATATTTAAAAAAAAAGGAAAAATTAAAGAATACTAAACTTATACTTGTGTATTTAAGTTATTTTTTTCCTTAAAATAATAATCCATAGAAGCTTCCGGGCCCTTCCGGGCAAGCAAGCGGGGCTGAGTTTGAAGAGGATCATTTTGGGATTGATGTCCTCTTGCTTCTATGTTCTATAATTGGGGAACCACACCATTCCACAAAATCTCGGTGTCAAATTCATATCGAAAGTTAATAAGAAAGACTACAATTTATGTATTATTTTCAAAATATGACTTAAATCATTTTCCAATAGAATTAGAAGTAAAAATATTTGAAATTCATGTACGAAAGTAAATATATAAACCCCAAATTTATGTACCCTTCTCATCCTTATAGAATTTCTGCAATTATTAATAAACTTCAGGAGCCAAAAGAACCGAAACAACAATGGCGATGTTCACTGAGGTGGCTGGCGGTGTCGGAACGTTATCGGAGCTCTATTGGAGTTCCCGGCGGGTGTTACTCAAAACCAGAGATGGCTTAGAGAAGCTCGAGCATTTTGAATACACCTCTTCTTCCTCCGAGTTGTCATCGGGCGCCGCCGTGAATGATCCTTCGGAGAAAGCAGTTGAGGATTTGAGAAAAGATATCAGCCAAATCCAGTTACTTTGCTCCGAAATGGAACGTCTTTGGCATTCCATACCTGCTAAATCTTAACGTGATCTCTGGAAAAAGGTTGCCTTTTTATCCTCCCGGAATTATGATGTTTTAATTTTGATTTCAACTGCCTCTTTGTTCGGTTTTTTTTTGATATTCTTGATTAAGGATCCCTATTGTTGAGATTCAATTGGCTGTTCGTGTTAGGCTTAATTAGGTTTAGAGGATTCATATGGCTAACATGCCAACTGATTTGATATTGAGGCATAGTTGATTGATTGAGATGAAGCAGTGATTTCTTAATATCAAACTTGATTGGTTGATTAGGCTTAGAGGATTCATATGAAATGCCAACTGATTTGATATTAAAGCATAGTTGATTGGTTGATCAAGTTGAAAATACTAATAAGATTTCACTCCATCTGACTATGAGCCAATGATAGAGTTCTTTATATTACATAGTTAGAATTGAGGACGCTTTATCATTCAGCAATTTGAGATGAAGCAGTGAATTCTTAATATAAATCTTGAGATAATGCATGTCATTTTTATCTCTAAGGTACGGTTAAATAATGCGAACACTGTATCCTCGCCAGATCTCACTTTGTGGGACTATATTGAGTATATTGTTGTCGTTGCATGCCATTTTAAATAATGATTTTAGATCTTTCACGTGAAAATGCTCCTATCGGTGCAGTAGAAAACTAGACAAAATGCATTTCTTTGGGTCCTTGACATGCTCAAATTTTTACAGGTCTCAGTTTTCAGATTATATGATGCTGTATGATCTCGTAGGATCCATCTGTATGGATTGTTGAAAGATAAAACCTGATTAGTTTGGTATATATCCGGATTTGGATTATCCAATCAGTCATCGCTTTTATTTGAAAAAAGTTGCATTTTGTACAATTTTAATTGTTAACGTTCTAGATTATACTGTAAATGCATGTTTTGTGGGAGAATTTTCGCTGTTTTAATTTTCTCAAATTAAGTAGAACCGTTTTGAAAAACCAAAAGAAGTTTGAACCATATTTGATGATTCTAGAAAGTTAAGGCAAGGGCTCATCAAATTTGATGAGGCTGAGTTAGTTTTTCAACCTTTTGATTAGTAAAAAGTTGAGTGAAGATGAATCATGTAATTCATGTGGGTTTCTACGTACAAAATAGTCAGTCCTATACTTTTTTTTTGACGACAAGGGAAACCCGCGCGCACAGGGTAAAACCCTCACTCCTATGCAATATCTCGCAAACCACATAAGAGAAGTAACCTGCACTAGCTAAGCCCGGTGTGACGAGCTCGACCTAAAAGGCAAACCCCTTGCTTTTTGCTGGCAAGACGTTTCGAACTTGAGACCTCCAAGCTGGAAGTCCCAAGCTCAAACCAGTGGGCCACCCCGAAGGATTTGTTAGTCCTATACTTTAGCAACTTTTCTTTCTCATATAGATTAAACATGAATAGTGGAATACACCGGAGAAAGCACAATTTTCATAAACCAATGTAATTTTGCTTACTCTTTGTGTAGTCAAAGAGAGAGAGACTTGCTTAGTCGTAGTTTGTCTTTCACTCTAAATTTATAATTCCACAATTGAAAGACTGTGTCTTACTTGTACAGGAAAGTGGAACTAATGGCTGACTCTTTGAAAGATAGTGTGGACAAATATAACCTACGGCATCGGAGAAGGATGCAAGAAGTCCGGGAGAGAACAGAATTACTTGGGAGAGTTGTGTGTAATTTTTTTAGTGCATGTATGATGAATAATTCTGTAGTCTCATGAATTCCATCTAATTTATTTTTATAATGTTGTAGAGCGCTGATTCATCTCATGTTTTGAGGATTTTTGATGACAAAGCTCAGGCAATGCAATCTGCTCGTAGCTCATCCAGAATGCTTGAAGAAACCTTGGCAACAGAGACAGGTATTCTTTCAAAATATAGTGAGCAAAGGGATCGTCTAAAGGTACCTAAAGTAGATCACCTGATTTAAATTTTATATACATTAGGCATAAAAAGGTAAACAAGCTTCTAATTTACTCGGTTACATATTGTACTGGGTAGATATGCAGTATGTTTTTGTTATTGCAATGGCATTATATTTCAGAGTTTGAACTGATGGGAAACTCTCCTACTTTAACTAGGAAATTGCCTATATTTTTGGTAAGACTGTTGTCTGTGTCTTAGCTTATTGTACTAAGAACCTTTTGGATTGACTTTTGGCTTATGACTTACAAATCAAAAGTCATACGTTAGAATTTCTAACTTATGACTTTTGGCTTATTTTGTTATTTTGACTTAAAATTAAGTACTTATAATCACTTTTTAACTTTACCCGATGTGCCAAAACACTTAAGAATAAGTCAACCCAAACAGTCACTTTGTTAATTTTAACTGCTTATGGTTGGTTCAAGGACAGAAGGCTGAGAAGTTGTACTCATTGGCTGACGGTGGTTTGCTTCCTTCTCATTGGGCAAATAGATGGGCAATGAAAGATCTGTGGCTTCTAAACTTAGTTATGAAGCAAGATAATCAAGTTTTACTCTTTACTACTGCCTCTTCTATATTAAAAAGAAGGGAGCAACTAAGCAAGAATGTGAATAGGGACTGTTAACAAGTCATACTATTTGAGCTCCTATTGGCTGGCTCTGGTTCAGAGACTATTTTTGATCTTGTCCCAAATCTTCGGTCTGAAATTGGTGGCTGATCACATAAACTTGCTTATCCTAGTTGACATTGATGAATTTTCAGATTAAATATGCAAGTTCTTGGCTGGTAACCCCTGTGTTAATGTGAAGAAAAAGATCTACTTATACTAATACAATGAAGGGGAACCTTGAATAATGGTAAAGTTGTCTCCGTGTGACCTATAAATCAAGGATTCAAACTGTGGAGTCAATGTGACCTATAAATCAAGGATTCAAACTGTGGATTCAGTGCTTTGTTAGGGTAACTTCCTATATTAAGCCCCTTGCGGTGTGGCCCTTCCCTAGACCCCGCTTGAACATGTAATGCTTGATGCATCAGACTTCCCTTTTACTTATAATATATTTAATATAGATGCTCGCTCTCCTATTTACTCTTATTAAGAGAAGTCTTTGCCATGATCAGTGCTAGTGTCTACAAATAAGTCAAAACTTTACGTTAAGTCTTCCCCGCTATTGTTGAACTCTTGGTATCTTATGTGATGATTTGTTGCAGTGAGCTCAACGAAAAGCATTAGATGTGCGCAACACTGTGGGGATATCAAATTCTGTAATAAGACTTATTGAGAAGAGGAATCGTGTTGATAGATGGATCAAATATGCTGGAATGATCTTAACAGTTATAGTGCTGACTTTCGTTTGGAGGTGGATAAGATGATAGTGCTTGATAATCGACTAAACCATCAGGATGAATTCTTAGTTAAAGATTTTTGTTTTGATAGGATTTAATTAAAGTCTACTCAAATCCCATTTAGAAGATAGAACTCGTAAACAAATCTTGATAAGCATTGTATTGCAATTGGGGTTGAATGGAGCCTGTAAATTGTAAATGAGATCTTGATAGTAAATATACTAGTACTATTTCTTTTATTTTTTCTGGAGAGAGGGGGGAACCAAACTGGCAATATGACAACTTTTTGTATGTATATCTAATTCTTTGATGAAAAGACCACTACAATGCCTTCACATTCCATCTATGGTGGCCTGTCTATCGGTATTTCTCTTTTTTTTTGTTTTCCTGTTTATTTGTTGAATGATAAACCTATTTTATGATATTCTAGAAAACAGAACTAAAGATTATTATCATAATTCACCTTCTGTACCTGTAGAATAAAGAGTAGAATATTTCAAGTTTGTTTTAGTATAAAAAGCTAAAACGATTTACTGTCAATGGCAGTATGAAGCTTACAGAAAATTTTCCCAGTTGAGGGTACCAACATAGACTGCAGTTTGAACGATAATTAGGCATTGATCATAGTCAAACAAGATCTCTCCACTCTTTAGCATGCATAGAAATCTGGGTGATTGGCTTATCATTATAACGCGTTGCTGTGTAAGGCTTCACAGGAAACATCATCACCCAAGAATCTCTCACATTTTACTCTTTCATTATCCAAATCCTCAACCATCCGCTAACACACCGATTTGCTTAAACAGCATGAAGACGCCCTCCTAGAACTATAAGATCATAATCAGATATTCTAGTTGGTTAAATCTGACATGAGGCCTAGGAACTTGACCAAATCCTTCATCATCCAGGTCTTTTGACTCAACCAATGTAGCTTTTCATCCACTAAAACTCCCATTGGATTGGGTTCAAGAATGCAGGGCGCTTCCCTAATACCCCTACATTTACTGCTACTAAGACTAAATATTTGAACATCACATCTACTTAGCATCCACACTCTTAACATGAAGCTTCAAAGGTATGTTCTAGGTATTTGTACAGTACACAATCTTGATCACCTTCTCCTTGTAAAAAGATGAAATCGAAATACAACTTGTTGCTCTTCAAACTAAATTAATTTGAGGATATCTTTATAGTCTCTAGTAAAAGAGTTGTGCAGACCGAGTCTATAAATGACACTACTGCAAAAATAATTTTTAGCGGCAATGAATGTGTACATTAATAGAGAGTTCTAAAGCTTTTACCGACATTGGTTAGTTGTCATTGTTCTAATATCATTGTAGGCTTTAAGGACATTTACAAAAGTGCTAAATAAACAGTCGATTTCCTGAAAAGGACAATAGACTCACCTGCACATTAGTAGGCTAAATAAACAGTTAAGATAAAATGCAGTAATTTAAAGGGCACGAGTGTTTTTATGCTTGTTCAGATCACTGAGGAATCGAGTTCAGTTCCCTTGGGTTGCAATTTCCTTAAGAGCTTCGAAGAGAGCTTTGATAGTACAACGTATGTGTGGCTTGATCCTGCCTGATATGCAAATCTGATAGATACCTTGACACTAACTCTACTTGTCTTTATTTTTCTTTTCCATTCAAGAGTTTAGAAAGCTTTATGAAATATAAAAGAAAAACTGTTCTATAAGATCAAGTGAAGTTTCCTACTTCACACTTAATTCTGAGAGTCGTTTATATAGCCATGGACTCTTGTTCATTGTAACGAGAACCCAAGGGATAATACTCTCAATCAAGGATGGTTGAGATATTCCCTGATTGAAGCTATTTGCTGATCCATGTCCATATCAGATATGTGCATGGTAAATCACTATTTCTATTCTTCTTGGCTTGACTTTCTAAATCCTTTGATCTTTTGCTTGATTCTCGTCTTCTTCTTTCCTTGATAGCTTGATGCTATTTGTGAATTTGATTTGCTGATCCATTGATTTGATTTTTTCAATAAGTGATCTCCTTAAATTTGTTGATTGCTGAATCTAGGCCATCTTTATGTTTGGATCGATTCCTTAGATTTAGCCTTTCCTTTCTATCAGGTTCTATAAGAATCAACCCTGTTCTTTCCTTCCATCATGGTGACTTCTACGTGGATTCATTCCGTTTCAATTTCATGGCCTGTGAAATGTGTAAGTAATGTGTTAAGTGTCAATTTTAAAAATTACGTAACTCTAAGGAGTTCACAAATCTCCCCCATTTTGATAATGACAACTTGGTAAGAATTTCATCTTAAGCTAAAGGTATTTACCTGACTGTATGTACGCTTGCTGCCCCCCCTCCTCTTTAGATTTGAGAGGACAAAATAGCTCCCCCTTTTTGTAAGAAGAATTGTAGGAAAGAACAAACATAATACAGACGAGGACAAATAATATTAAAAACAGCAGTAAAACACATAGTCAGCAAAAATAGTCCAAATAATTATTGGGACACACCCCTGTTGAAAGTTAGTTAAAAATAGCAGTACCAAACAAACGTAAATTGATTCTTATGTATGCTCAAGTTAGCCTTTCGCCTATAGTTAACCAGGATAAGGGTTCTCTTGAAGATCAGCAATGGTTCTTGAGTGCTGGCCACGTCTAGGGTGTACGTTTGAGTCGTGATACATTCTATCTACTAATGCATATTTGTGACTACATTTTTTTCACTAATGTAGGGTATAATCCCTATTTCACACACTTGTGGCTAGATTGATCCTTTGATCTTTTGGAGAGATTGGTGACTCCTCATGTTCCGAGGATCGAGACTCTTTTAATGTTCTATTTTGTTTTAAATTCAAAATTATATGTGATATATGACTTACGTCCCAATCACTTTTCTTATGAAGTATTAAATGGATCTGAGACTTATGATAGACTTCTTCTTTTGTTGTTGTTATCGTTGTTGTTGTTGTTGTTGTTGCAGTTAATGTTGCAGTCGTTGTGTCTCACTGTAGTGCTGACAATTTAAGACCACTTTTCACTGACCTGCCCAAATAGCCCATCAAATATGGATTGAAAGAGTGATTTTAAATATGAGTAATATTTAGCCTTATACCCATATTTTATCTATTAAAATATGGGTATATTATGGGTAAACTACAGGTCATATATGGGTTTGCAAATTTTCTCCAAATTTTCAATAAGCCTTCTATTGCCAAGCTTTAGAAGTGATTTTTCAAAACTTTCATATGTGAGTCCCTATTAATATTTCAACTCTCGACCCCCATCCCTTCCCCCGCCCCAAAAAAAATTCAAAGTTTATTTTTTAATTGATTCAAAATTTTACTTTTGCACCCCTACCATCGACCCCCTCCCCCCTCCCCCCCAAAAAAACAATTTTTTTAAAGTTTGTTTTTAAAAAATGATTTCAACTTCAAAAATTCATTTTTCCATCCTTACTATCGGCCCCCACCCCCACCCCCACCCCATCAAGAAAAAAAATTAAGTTTGTTTTCATATAATATTTTCAAGTTTAAATATTTATTTTTTCACTTGTACCCTAAACCCCCCAACAATCGTCCCCCCACCTCCTGCCCCCTACATACCCCAAACCCCTACTAGCCCCCTACCCCCAACCAATTCCCTCCCTTCAAAAATATTAAGTTTGTTTTTAAAAAATATTTTTAACTTCAAATATTTTTTTCACCCTACCCTGGACCCCCTACCCTCACCTCGCCCAAAAAAAAATTTAAAGTTTATTTTTTAAAAATATTTTGAACTTCAAAATTTCATTTTTCATCCCCGACCCCCTCCACCCCAAAAAAACATTTTTTTTAAAAGTTTATTTTTAAAAATATGTTTTCAACTTCAAAATTTCATTTTTTCTTCCTAACTAGCGTCCCCCCCGCCAAGAAAAAAAATTAAGTTTGTTTTAAAAAAATATTTTTAACTTTAAATATTTATTTTTTCACCCTA